CGCCGTGAATGTGCTTCGTCCTATCACCTACCCTCCATCTCCATATCCTCCTCCTCAATCGTAGGCAAAACCTGATACATCCTCTTCCCCTTACCCATCCTCTTCAAGCACCGATCCGTATGCAACAAATGCCCCCTCTTCTGCCTTACAAAGCCCGCAAAACACGCCGCGCTCGACGCAATCGCACCCGCTGAGATATATATCGGTATGAAGAAGTCCTGCGGCTTGTACCAGATCATCGTCGTCGCAAAAGAGAGCAGTTCGAACAGGTTCTGTAACGACATTTCGATGGCGGAGAAAGAGCCTCGGGAGGCAGGTGGCGCGTCTTCTTGAACGAGGTATTGGACGCTGAGATCGAAGCCCCAGAGGCCGAGGCGGGAGAGACATACGCCGATTACGAGGGCGCCGCCGGCTAGCATCGGTGCTGTGGTTGTGGGGAAGACGTGGAATAGGCCAATTGCCAGGGCGATGGCGAGGAGTTGTTCGTTGATGAACCAGAGACCTGCTCGTACGGCGCCGATTTTGTTCATGAGCCACGGCGCTGCGATGGTGGCGGATAGTTCTAGGATAACGGATACGAGCCGCATGACGGAGACGTGCGTGCTGGTGAAGCCGAGGGTGAGGAGGTAGGTCGTCATTTGCGAGGCGAAGGAGAGGACGGTGAGGTAGAGGAGAGAAAGGGAGAAGGAGGCCAGGAAGGCGGGGTTGGTGATGTATTCGCGATACGGCGCAAGGTGTGTGGTTATGGTTTTGGTGATGGTGGAGCGTCGCGTAGTGGTATTTGGTACGGTGTCCTGGTTAGGCGACGAGGCTCGCTGTTGCAGTTCCGTAGCAATGTCCGTTTCAGACGCTTGTTTCGTCACGACGCCCTTTCCAACACTTAATTCCGGTACCGCGGCATATACATTCGCGATGGCGAAGTATTCTACCAACACACTTATCGCGTTTTGTGCGAAGACGGCCCAGATGGCGAGTTTGGTGGAGTATCCGTCTACGAGTCCGATGCCCACGGGCGCGATGAGCTTGCAGATGAGATCTATCCTGCGCATCGCGCTGTTCAGCTCTTGACGGTCGAGAGCTAGACTCTCGGATACAACGACGATCCAGTCACGCTCCACGGATACGGTGTTGGCGACGAAGGCGAGTTTCTCGATGCATGCCAGCACCACGCTGATGAGGAATAGTCCGTAGGTAACCATCCCAATATCCTTCTCTTCTCCACCCAAACCCAGCATCGCTACCAGAATCGCACAGCTCCCCGCAACACTAACTCTTTGCCACACAATACTCTGGCGCACAACCCATAACCTGTCTCTCCGGTCAACTAGCCCTCCAATCCATGATCCGAGGACTGCAGCAGCAAGCGACCGGAAAAGCGCATAGCATGATGCGAAGAACAGCGTCCCAGGGAAGATTTTGGCCAGGAAGATCACAGCGCCGAATTCAAAGGTGCGCGCATTCCAGGTCGAAAGTGCATGTGAAGTGTACAGCTTGGTGAGGAGGTGGCGGGGTGATCGTCGCGTGGGCGATGGTGTTGATCGGGCGGGGTAGACTGGTTGTGGTTGGGTTGGTGAGGCCAGCTCTCGTCTGGTCTCGCTCGTCGAACTCGTCGAACTCGTCGAACTCGTCGAACTCGTCGAACTCGTCATATCGTCACAAAGTGTATGGATAGGAAGAAGCAAAAAGGCAAACCGCCCCCCATGGCGAAGAAGAAGCTACATATCGTGTCGCAAGGTTTAGCTGCCTAATACCGTGATGGTCATGAGACGGGTGCCCGATGCTGTGGGAAACGGACGTCTGGGCCTTCCGAGTCGCCTCATGGATTGCGTTTGCACGTGTGGACCCTGGCGATCTGGTGGTGGGATTAGGCTGTGTTGGGTTAGCGTCGCGAGGTTTGATAGGTTTGATAGATAGCAGGGCCGAGTATTCGTGGTAAGGTATCGATATCAGGCTGTTCAGTTAGACTCGTTGATCTGATACAGTGGCCCGGGTGGGTTATTACCATTCTGTCGAGTATGGCAGGACCGCTTGTCGGTGGGGACTTCGACCATCGCAGTCATTCTGCATTTGTGGAACATGTAATATGCCTTCGTATCTAGATACTGACGATGTTGAGATATTAGTAAAGCTTAGCCTGACTGTTGCCTATTGAGACGCTCAGAAAGAACGCTTGGACTGGTCTCCATCGCACATGATTGCTTGTGGTTGCAAACAGATACACTCGGTCGGAGTGTATCAGCGTTTGTCTTCAATCAGCTAGAAGTATAAGGAATGACTTGCCGATTGAGGAGAACGTCATGCTGATTTGATGTTTTCTAGTGGTGGGGTTGAATGTCAGACTGCCGTGACGGGGTGAGCGAGCGTGTTCTTAGCGCGAACCCTGGATCTTGGAAGGACGCGTTTCCTAAGGCCGTTCCATCTTCGAGCACACTTCCTTCCATGGAGCTCGAATTACACTGTCAATGGCACCCGATTTTGTTGCAGATGCATGACTTCATGCCTTGTCCTCACCTTCCATGAAGATGTTCGGCTACACGGCAAGCTGTCTAACGCTTGGCCAAGGCTTGCTCGTGCATCCACCTACATGACGCGTACCTAGGTACTCTACTCAAGTACACGCCCACCGGCTCCCTTTGCCACGAGACGAATGAGACGCTCCCTACAGCGCGGCAGACGGGGTAAGCTGTCCACATGACCTCAAGTCATCACAAAGCTAACAACCTCAGGATGGCTGGTCCTACCCCTCGGCAGACACCCCGCCCGCTTCCAACCTACGCCCTCCTTCTTGCAGCCCCCGATCAATGCTCAATCAGAAAGACCACGGAACAACGGCCCGCACCATGAGGACAAACAAGAGCGAAGCAAGTTTGCAAGGAGCGTGCTTGAAGGAAGCACGGTAGCCCTGATATCGCTCTTTGGTCTGGGCCTTGGCGGCTACGCCTATAGTTTGTTCTACAAGAGGACGGTTGCGAAGAAGATCGAAAATGCCTTTGCCACGGGATATAGTTCGCAAGAGCGGGTTGCGTTGGGTCGCATCTCATACGGCACGGAGCCAGACAAGATACAAGAGATTGTAGAGAGGGAATACTGGGTCCCGCGAGCGGAGCAGGAGGATATCGACAACGTCGTCAGCGGAAGGGCCAGGGGAAGATACTATTTGGTCATCGGCGAGCGAGGTACTGGAAAGCGAGCTCTACTCCTAGAAGCCATGCGGAAGGTCAACGGCGATGGTATTGCTATGCTAGAAGCGCACAACGATCTGGAAGTCTTTCGAACGCGACTCGGGAAGGCCATCGACTACGAATTCCACGAAGACTACATTGGAGGACTGTTCAGCATTCGGGGCCCGAGGGACAGCTCGCCGCTACTGGACATTGAGAGAGCGCTCAACCAGATGGAAAAGGTAGCCTTGTCGCTGCGAAAGCGTCGCGGCAAGCCTCTTCTCATGATCATCAACAACATCCATCTGTTCAAAGACGACGAGGCAGGCAAGCATCTACTGGAGATCCTGCAGCAGCGCGCCGAGATTTGGGCTGGCAACGAGCTCGTCACAACCGTCTTTACCTCCGATGAATTCTGGACCCTGGAACGCCTGACACCACACGCGACCAACATGCACGTCATCAGTGTCAGAGACGTACGCAAGAACGTAGTAACCACCGCACTCAAACAATACCGCGCTCGCTACCACAACGAAGACGTACCCGACAGCATCCTCGACGAAGTCTTCGCTAAAGTCGGCGGCCGACTCATCTTCCTAAACCAAGTCGCCAAATCCCACGATATGCTGGAAACCTGCAAGCAGATCAACCGAAGAGAGAAAATGTGGTTCCTAAACAACTGCTGGATCCTCGGCGACTCCATGGACGACGACGTGGAAGAACAACAAAAATACTGTGCCGCCGCCATCGTCCTAGCACGCGCGCTCGTCCTGCGCGAGAACGAGACACCCCGTTCGGACGACCAGTTCACACTTCCCCAAATTCCGCTACACGAGGCCCGTCAGATCATCACGCGCGCCGACTTTGTGCACCCGTTTGATCACATTAACGTGATTCATATCGATGCGCACGGTATGGTAAGAGCAGATTCTGTGCCGATGCAGAATGCGTTTCGTGAGGTTGTCCAACAACCGGGCTTTGAAGAGCATTTGAAAGCGACGTTGAATCGGTTGGATGAGTTGGAGAGTTTGGCACGGACGAGGGAGGTTGCGATGAGGGAGCCGCCGGATAGGAGTGGGGGGATTGTGCCGGTGCAGACGTATTGTGCGAAACTTTGAGAGGGTGAAGAGGTGGGTTTGTAGGTAGCAGACCGCGTGGACGTCGTGCGTGTGCTGCCAGCTGCGACTGTCGCGATCCCGTGCATGCTAGCACAAACATCGAAATGGTATACAGTCAGCTCCGCGTTCGTCTCCTCACAGCAAGTCGTTCTCCTCGCCTTCAGCTTCAGCTTCAGCAGATTTCATCGCGCTATGTCCTTATTAGACCTCCCAAAGGAATTGCTCAGTAGAGTGTGTCGATTTATCGGTCTCGATCACCAGACGCGAAAGTACGAAAACAAGGACTTCCACTCCCTACGCCTCACGTGCAGGGAACTGTACAAGCGGACAACCTACGATGCGATTATCCGCTACGGACCTATGCTTCGCGTGCTAAAAATCAAGTTCACCTATCCATCCCTCTGTCGAGTCTTGCAAATTGTTAAAATCGAGGAGTTCCGTGATCGAATCGTGGCACTGGAATTGGATCCATACGCAAGCCATGATTTCGACCATATCCTAAAGCCATCATCGCCACTCCACCCAGGCGACGAAGAGAGAGACATGTTCATCGACTCAAGTGAAGCCGTTCTCCTTGTAACAGAGTGCTTTCGGTGGTTGGCCAAGGCGAAACGGCTTGTACAGGTGCAACATTCCAGGTCTGCATCAATCCATGTTTCCTTGGCGGCCTTAGTGGAGGCCCAGTTCCCGGTCAAGCTTGATATCGCGTACGCATCCCCGCATGACCTTATCGCTCCGCCGGGTCATGGAGATTTTGGACGATCGCCTGCGATGTACGTTCCCTATATCAGGTGTATCTCAACAGACGGGGGTGTTCCAGGAGTACTAGATTACGACGAGGAACTCATCCAGGAGCTGGGCGAATACAAGAACGAAGTAGGCATTCACATCAAGAACTACCGCCTTCGCCAGCCAGCTGTCGCGTCCTTTTGGTTCGGTCTGCGCGATATCGAGCATCTGCACATCTCAGGCTGCATATGCGAGCCTTACTTGCGCTTTTGTAATGCGTGCGACGACACCTTTACCCTCCACATCTTCAATGTCGCGTTCAACCACCTAACGGCTTTCCATCTGTTCTGCATGTACGTTAGTGGTGGTCGTCTTCGAAGATGGCTCCGAGAGCAAGGCCACACACTCACTCAGTTGCAATTCTCAAACAATGTCTTGACTGATGGTTCATGGAAGACAATCGCACAGGGGCTGCAGAAGCTACCTTTTCTGCGTGAGCTTGCTCTCGAGCATAATCTTTTGCAGAAAGGCGCCGTGCCAAGACCGCTAGGTCAACAGATACCTGTGTATCAATGCGAGGACACCGACGATGACGATACGGATGTAGACAAAGTTCGCCACTATCTGGCATTCTTCATCGAGAATTTCTGCACCGAAAGATATACGGGTAGTAGATATTTGCCGTGGCCCTTGCCGTATTATCACATGGTGGATCTACCGATCTACTCGCTGAATTACGGCCCGGAGACTATTGACCGTGACCCTGCTTTGAAGGCGCTGGAAAAGTACATTGTGGAAGTTGAAGGGGAGTAAGGCGCTGGTCACGGGCAAACGTTACTAAGACCAGTTTTATCGATTCATCTAGCTGGATACATCGAACACAAGGTATTCTGAGAATGCCTTGCGTCAGGGTTACTACATACAATCTCGGTCGCGTCTTATCGCCGTGTTCTGCTTTGACATTCCACCGTGATGCCGTAGCGTATGTACAGGCTCATCCTCTGTTGGTAGTACCCAGCATAGTCCCCCTCATAAACGCGTAATTGCATACTGCTCAAGCTTCTTCGTCCGCCTCGAGATACTTGTCCAAAGCTATCTTCGCCCGTGACCGAGTATCAAGTATACTCACCCTGTTATAAGGTAGAAGGAACGTACGGGCCTCGTGATAGACCGGAAGCTTATAGCCATTAAACGCCTCATAACAGTCGCCCGCAATGCTCTTATCCGTGGCAAAGTATCTTACGAATACGTCCAGCCAGTGTGCGACATCCTTCGTGTTACGCAGTATAACATCAATGTGCGAGTCATCGCTTTGGAGCTTTGAGGCCTCAAGGCCAGGAGTGACGTATTTCTTTGGTAGGCTGATCGCGAGAGGTGATGAAGCGTGTCTCTGAAGAAGAGAGCCAATGTAGCGACCCGTCGTCGTATCCGGGCCCACGTCCAGATAGTTGAGGTTCGGACATTTCTGCAGGCCTTTCGCGATCGAGCACCAGTTACCGTCGGTCAGAGATACGAAGTCGAACATGACGTGTTGTAGCGTTCCAGAATGTCGTTTGAGAAAGCCTCGAAGACGACTCCCACTCACGTAGCCGCCACAAAGGTCCAAGTGAGTAAGATTCGAATAAGTGTTCTTGGCGAAGATACCTACCCATGCATCTTCGCATCCGTGACACAATCGTAGACGTGGGACGGTGTCGCATCCGCGAAAGCTGACTTCCTTCACGCTCGAGAGTTTGGCGGCTAGCTTTGATACTTGTGGGGTGACGGACTTGTAGCCAGAGTAGTGGCGGCCGAATTCGTTGTGTGCGACATCAACTCTTCTCATGTCTGGCTCTATGTCCCAGGGATCTTTGTGTAAAGTGGCTTGGAACTCGAGATGCGAGATGAGATGCGGAGACTCGGCTAATGGGTTCAGGAAGTGATTGTGCGATGATATTTGGTAGTCCTTTGGGTTTACTAATACGTGGATGATTTGGCGGGGGAAAGAGGCGAGGTTGAGTGCGGCAAGGACGGCGGGATAAGTTGTCGCTTCGCAGAGGTAGATGTTCAGCAATGAGGTCGACTTTGCCAGGTTTTTGAAGCTTTCTGTCATCATGTAAACAGCCTCGGGAGAGTTCGCAAAGGAAGTCTGCTCTTCCCAAGATGAGCCGTCCACATATTCTCCACAATTACAGGAGGACCTCCCGCCGCAATACACACTGTCGCATGGCGTGTCGAATCTGATTTCGCGAAGTCGGTCCCGGAAGTAGGGAGCGCTGCTCATCGAATATAGGACGCCGAGGGATTTATAGGTAAGTTTGACCACGAGGTGGTCTAGCATTTCTCCGTAGAGAACCCCAACGTCGAATAGCGTTTTCTGGTAGACAGACCTGCAAGAAATTCGGAGCGACTCGAGATCTTGAGGCAGAGTACAGTCGAACATATCATCTTCCAAGATGATGAAGCGACATATCCTGCTAAGGATCTCCGGCGGTAGCGCAGAAAGGGCCATGGCTGGGGATCTCCGGCGGCTTGGGTGAGGTGTGGGAAGAGGGAAAGAGATTGACTTGGCCGTAGACAATGTACATCCAAGAGCCAGTGCTGAAGAAACTGCGTTGTTTTGTTGTGGGTACGGTCAGGCGGTCAAGTATCGACCTGAGGAGATAGCACTTGCCAAGCAGGCAGATTATGAACGAAATGTTTGCTCGATGCTTTACTGCGTACGTCACCGCTAGCACGGACCCAGTGCCTAGCTGGAAGACATAGCTGGTTCAAGTGAAAGAGCTCGATGATAGAAAGCTTGAGCAACTTGCCAGCCTAGCACTTTGCTCTCGTACTTAATGAACGATGACAAATCCTTCGACGCCTTTCACTATACATGAACTTCGATATACGACCAACGAACGTAGATACGAATGCAGACGCAGTAAAAACACTCCCATCTCCCAATGATCACAGCCTCCCATCAACATTCCCATACTCAGCAAGCTCCACTTCATTCAAATGACTCCTCGCCCTCATACTACTCCGCGCACTCTCTGTCGTCGCCAGACTTTGACGCATGAGCACCGCTCTCTTCGGATCCATCTTCGCGTTCGGTGATGCAGGTTTGAAGACTCGATTGCTTTCATGTCCGTAATATGAGTACCGGGCAGGCCGCTTTCCTTTGGCAGCAGGTGATATTGCGCTGGCATCAACGCCAACACCCGAGTACGATCTCGCAGGACGGGTTATGGCCGGTAGCGGCCAGTCGTCAGTGTCAGAGTTTTCGTACTTGACTGACGATCCGGGCGACTCGTTATGTAAGTCCCACTCCTCATGTTCCCAGATGGGGTCAGAGTATGTCGACGAGGAACCCGATGGTTCGTCGATATATACCGACGAGAACGATGTCGTTGCCGATGTTCGTCTCGGCGCGTACGGGCGCGGGTGCATCATCTTCTCCATCTGCGCATCGAACATGTGACTTGACGCAGTATCTCGCTGATGCAGTCGTGGCAAGCTACGACGAAGCGACAACATTCGCGCTGGGTTTCGTGGAGGTGGTGTTCGCTTCTCGAGATCCAGCATCTCGTAGCAGGCTTTGCCAATCCAGAGCATCTGCTCATGCTCGCGAAGGTAGCGTTCACCACCGAAAGACTTCTGGACGATGTTACGCGCCATCATCCCCAGCTTTCGTCGATGTTCGGACTTTTCGTACATTCTGCGCGTGATGACTTCCACGTCTTTTGGCGTAGGTTTGTGAGGTAAGATTGGCGCCGCTACCCCAGGGCCATCGTCGGCATATTGAGCCCACTCGTCCAGCATAGCGAGTAAGTTGATTTGCGCGCGTGCGAGCCCATATGCGTCATTGGGTGCCACAACTTCGCTATAGCGTTTACCGTCATCAGGGTCAGTGAGCACTCGCAGCGACGCGCCAACGTCAGTGCACACGACTGGTGCTCCAGTAAGCGCCGCTTCTCCGAGCGCAAGCGGCAGTCCTTCGGACACGGAGGAGTTGAGGAACAGCCAAGTGTTCGCAAGAACCATTGCTGGGTCTGCAGTGCCGCGCATCGCTACGTTTTCTCCAAGACCTTTACAAGCCAAAATCTCTTGACATTCGGAGGAGTAGACGGGCGATTTGTTGAGAGCGCCGTAGATGTCGAGCTTGTAATCCTTGAAACCCCATTCGTTGGTGATGATGTCCGCCGCAAGTAAAGCTGTCTTAATGTCTTTCGCAAACCAAACGTGAGACAGCATGGTTACTGTCGGCGTCTTGGTTTTGATCTCGGTCACCGGAGAAAACTTGGTCATATCGGTAATGCCGTTCACGATAGGATCGACTTTCCGACGAAACACGTTGCGGTGTGTAAGTTGACCCTTTGCGCTACCGATTTCCACCTCCCAGCCGGGGTTGAAGAAGTCTAGCATATCAAGTCAGTCACTTCGTTCGGATATGAGATGCGATGCACCTACCTGCACAGGGCAGGATCTGGTCGGCGTGGTGCAAGATGAGACAAGATGTCAACTTCATTAGACCCAGTAGCGAGTTTCGGATGAAGGGCGGTAGAGTGCACATCGCGGACGAGAGGTAGAGATTAGTCTCACGCCAGGAGATCGCATGATCCCAGATTTGAAGTGTGCAGTTGCGCTTCAGCTTGCAAACGATCCCGTAGGATGCTGAGACGCTGTGGTGCGAGGCTTGGAAGACGTGGGGTATCTTTTCGGGGATGGGGATCGAGAAAATGAATAGATCTACTCAAGTTAGCTTCGTCGTGATCAACAAGAGGATATTACGTGCATCGGAACCACAGCTCTAGCGCCGTGTCGAAGTGATTGAGCGTTGGAAGCTCAGTACGGAACCATTCTGAGGGCGGTTGCGCGTTCGGCATGTCTTCATCGAGCCACAGTCTCCTCCATGTATCTTTGACCACATCGCTGGTCCAGACCTCTTTCCAGTGACGCGAATCCTGAAAATATGTGTTCAGGTTGACCAAAGCACGCGTCGCTTGCTTCACATCTGCTGATGTCATTGTAGTCGCCCGTGCGCCGCGAACGAGAGCAGTCAAGGTAGGAATGAAGTTCGTTTCGATGTCGGATATCGTTGCTGCTTTGACCAGATGGTCGACCTCGCTGTCCAGCTTGTTGGTGAACATCCCATGGTTTGGATGCATGAAGTCCAGTCCCCATAGTGGTATCACCTTGAGTGACTCAACGTTCTCTTCGGTTTGGTGCTTCGGCAAGCCAAAGTCGTTAGCCGATTCGACGACCATGTGCCATTTGATGGTGCGCAAGTTGTTGATGAGATCTCGACGACATGCCGAGACTCCACCACCTTCATTCGGCCATGTACCAGTGTCAACAGCGATGACATGAAGGTTGTGGTCGGTATCGCGTTGTAGTGCTTTCGTTCTTGTGAAGATAACGGCATCCCCACCTTGGCCAAAGCTGAACAAATCACTCATTCGAATTGCAAGTGGCGTCCATGCGCTAATGTCGCTTGTGAGGTCTGAGCTGGCCATAATGGCGTCGGCATGCAGCGCCAGATAGTCTTCAGCCTTTACGAGACTGCCGCGATCTCTCCGTCTCCAATATGGGCGGAGGAGAGCTTCTCTGCGAATCAACTCTTCATCTACCCATCGGATGACAACACCATCTAGATCGTTTCGCTTCTTCCAGGCTTTCCAGAGTTGGGATCGAGCTCTGGAAGTGGAAATCTCTTGTTGTTTGATGTTTGTGCGCAGCATCCGACTGAAGAAACTGGAAGACGGGGACTTGAAGGCTAACAAGGGATTCTCGTCCGCGAAAGTACATCGAGTTGGCTTCTTTAGTACGCCGAGCCAATCATGACGAATCATATCCGGGGTTTCGACTGGGGCGCCGTTAAGCTTCGTAGTAATGGTTGGATGGAACTTGTGGTCATACAGCCATGAGCATTCATATACATCGGCTCCTTGGACGAATGTCGCTTCGTGAACGCGAGGGGTGGGTATCCAGCGCTCCATCTTCTCGGCATGGCGAACAGGAGGTGCACACCAGCTGACGTTGGCTGACATGTGCGGCAGCACAAATTCGGCGCGGAGAAGTTCGTCGTCGTATTTGGCGTTCTTGCGATAATGATACTTGAAACGGACCAGATTATTGTGGTTGATATAGCTTCCCGACTCGATGTGGCCCTTCCGGTTGTAGATAACCTTGGCACCCTCATCCTGGCCGCTGCGACAGGTTCTGCTTAGAGGCACCCTACTCTTCTTGACTTTCGAGATCTTCGTCTTACGCTGAAGTTGCTTCAACGCATACTCGTAAACAAACTCATTGGTGACCGCGCCATTCTTGTACTCTTCACGCAACGTGATGCGCATCTCTTCGTCATAGTATGTGACCCGGAGATGACCCCAAGTAGGCTCTGCTTCCAGATCACCTTGATAGAACATCAGTTTCACCCCGCCAACTTTGACAGGATGAATGAATGCTGTCTCCGTGTCTCCATAGCTTCGAATAATCAGGCGATTCTTTTTCTGGACGATCAAACTACCCTTCACTGTTCCAGCAAGGCCTGCGATGTCTTTGCGGCGATGGTACAAGAAAAACGGCAGAGCAACGGACATTGCAACCCGACTGTATATCCACAAGCCTGTCAGAACGAAGGTGGCAGACGTGGCTAGTGGACGTGGTGTGTGTATCAAGGCTCCGTTCAGCTCGCGCTGGTATTCAGGGTCGGCCATACATGCGAGGAAGAAGAACTTGACCCAAGTCCCAGCAGAGTGGTAGACATAGGCAATCGGCAGACGGACGTATTCAGTGAAGATGCTGAGAACTGAGACAGCCGAGTGATTGAGGACAGGATGATACGCCTCCTGGATGTCCGCGGTCATTTGACGATACTCTTTCTCGGTTAGAGCCTGATCACCTCGGTTCTTGAAGAAGCTGTACTTGACGACCGCTAAGTACGCGCCAAGGTCATATCGCGCAATGCACGACAGAATGGTACACGAGCTTTCCACCGGAACGTTCGCGTTTATCCATGCCATTTCTGTGTTCGTATAGGGTGCGCGGACGCCAACACATCGTCGGAGGAAAAGGCGACGAATCTCGAGGGGAAGATCTTCCCATTGACTCTCGCAGTTGAACCCAAGG